AGTGATGTGGATGGACTGGCCCTTGTGGTTCTTATTATGATTTCAAGATGCCCTCAGCAATAACCACCAGGAAACTTGGAAAAAAGTTTTTATAAGGTTTATTACTTACAAGTCCTGGGAATTCTATGGCATACATAGGGCCATATTGCAAGGTCATAGCAGGAGGTGAGGAGAATCACACAGACCTGATGTCCTGCTTTTCTCAGGGCTGAAGGTGGAGACTTCACATCCCTAATTCCAGCAAAAGTTCATTAGAACCCATGGAAAACAAAGTCTGAGAGCCAGGGCCAACTTTTCTACTTATGTGCCTTGGGAGGCTCCTGCTCTCACTCTCCACTGCTCCGTCAAGCCCTGTCATGCAACAGGCTAGGGGTCCTCCTAGCCCTTCCCCTTTTGCAGTTCACCACTGTGGATTTCCAGAAGGTGCTATCTGCATGGTGACCTCATGAACCACTATCCCAGTTGTACCTGGGGACATACATGGAGGAAGCTGGGGTCCTGCTTAATGAGCTTCCTCCTGTCTGCCTCCTCATGACCACTCTACCTTCCTTTCAGGAAGGAAATCTTTCATTTGTAATCATTATTCACAGGAACAGTATCACAGCAAGGTACAGGCATCATGGTGTTAATTTTATGTGTTAGTTTGACTGGGCTAAGTGATGCCCAGATAGCTGGTAAAACATTATTTCTGGGTCTGTCTGTGAATGTGTTTCTGGAAGAGATCAGCATTCAGAACTGTAGACGGAATAAAGAAGATTGCCCTCACCAATGTGGATGAGCATGACCCAGTCCACTGAGGGCCCAAGTAGAACAAAAAGGTGGAGGGAAAATAGACTTGCTCTCAGTACTTTAGCTGGGATATCCCCCTTCTCTTGCCCTTGGACATCAGTGCTCCTGGTTTCCAGATCTGCAGACTTGGACTGGGACCATTGGATCCACCGATGTTCACACCTTTGGGTTGGACCATACACCATTGGCTTTCTTGGGTTTCTAGCTTGTGGATGGCAGATTATGGGACTTCTCAATCTTCATAATCACATGTGCAAATATCTTATAATAAATATTGTTCTGTACATCTATGTCCTCTTGGTTTGATTTCTCTGGAGAACCAGGAATTATACAGATTTTAGTACCACAAGTGGTTTTAGAGGAAGGGAAATTTAAGGATGAGTTTTCTGAATTGGTTCTGGGCCTTCTGGAATTGGCTCTCTAATCTGATTAGATTTAAAGATGCTAATGATTATTTCCAGCAATGAAGAGAGCACTGGTAGTCCATGGTGTGAACCTTTTATAGCATATGCAAGAGACATGCACTGGATACTCCTAATCAAGGCATTAAGTGACTCTGTATTTAATACTTTAAAACATTTTTGGAAAACAGAGGAATATCAATGACAGTGGTTAGTTGCTCCTAATGTGGCTAGACAAAGTGGTGAAAGAAACGGATGAGCTCAGAGATTTGATTTCTCAGCTCAAACACCACATAAATGACATGAGAGCTTTTTTTTTTTTAAAGATTTTATTTATTTTTATTTGACAGCATGAGAGAGAGAGAGCACAAATTGGGCAGGGGAGAGGCAGAGGGAGAAGTAGACTCCCCGCTGAGCAGGGAGCCCAGTGCGGGGCTCGATCCCAGGACCCCGGGATCATGACCTGAGCTGAAGGCAGACACTTAACCACTGAGCCACCCAGGCACCCCTGACCTGAGAGCTTCTGTGTGTGACCTGAAGGAGACGCTGTACACACAGGGCCGAAATTGCTGAAAATCAAACACGGGACCCCATCCTGCAGTTGGCTGAGCTACAACACAAGTTGAACTCCCAGCCTCACAGGATGTCTTCTGTTAAAGTGAGAGCAATGACTAGGAAAGAATGAGAGCCTTTAAGTTGGAATGATACATACAGGAAGATCCTGATGAAGCTGGGGTCATTGAGCCTCTAAATTCTAATGAGTCTTCCATGCCAGCAGAAGGGGCCTCTCCATCCTCAGTGATATCAGCCATTCTATCCCCCGTCTCTGGGATGGAGACAGGGAAAGTTAAAATGGGACAAAGCTGACTGTTCTTACTGAGCTTCAACTACTTTTCTCAAATAAATGTCCCTGTATTAATCCCTTTGGTAGGTTTCCAGAATTTTGAAAATCTTGATTTTTGCCAGTCATGCCAATATTCTCATTCTTTTATGGAGAAAAGAATTTCTGAATGTTCTTACCCTGCTCTTCCTGCTGATGTCACCTACAGTCATATAATGATGCTCTTAAAAACATGACTGCAGCCCTTTCTCTGTACTTTTCTAACAGTTATGTGTTGTCCAACCAGAGGTTACAACTGTCCATAGTATTCACTTTGCTGAAAAGTGACAGATGGTTTTGTTTGTGAAAAGGCAAAAAAAAAATTCCTAGTGTGCCCCATTTAACAGCAGCATACAGTAATCCCCAGCTGTTCAATATTTGTCACATTTCACAAAGAATCTACAACCATCAAGTAGGATTTATCTTCCATATTTCTAAGTGGACTACCTCAATTTGTACAGGTTTTCTCTTTTTTAAAAATATTTATAAAAGCTTTTGGTAAGTAAATCTAACTCATCTTTTCTCACTTTAATTTTTTCCTCAAGAGCTAGCATAAAAATGAGTCAGATCCTGCAATTAATTCTGTGATTTTTATGACATTTCTGTTCTTTCAAGAATGCTTTTTGTCACTATGACCCCAATGGGGAAATCTCTATCTCTGAAAATTGAATGACTGCAATTAATCTTTTAGCATCTCAAAATAATTCTGAATGTTCCCTGTCATCTTTACTTCAAAATATTGGCCCAATCTGTACATATATATTTATGTGCACACCAAGTAAACTTAGCCTTTTTGTAGTCTGTAGAATTTTCATGACTTTTGAGTGTTCTCATCATATGCATCTGGTCTTAGAACCCACCTGATGGAAATTATTCCTGTCTTTTTGAAAGTTTATTTATAAGCAAAATATTTGAAACTGGTCATGAAATAGGCTATTCAGAATCTTTTTAAGAACATTTTTTACAAAATATCGGAGAAATCTCATCTCTTGTATATTCTCTTTGATGGTCTATAAATATTACTAGGAACATGATTTTGGGAAAAAAAACAACCACCTTGTTTTCATGTAATAGTGTTGAGTGAAACTTACCTTTCTCTACGGTTTACCCTGGTGGTCCTTTATGATTTTTCAATGATTAAGAATGTTGAAAAATATCAATATTCGTCTTAAAGTGAAGAATACCTCAAAATGTCTATAGCCTCTTCAGAGTCCCTTGATAGGAGGGTAAGAGTGAGAGGAGAAACTGAACTGGATGGACAAACCAGCCTTCAGTAATTGTGATTAGAATGTCTTTTATAAACTTTAGGGGAACATGTGATTATCTCAGATCATTTCCAGGGTTTTAAAAGTTGCTTTTGCCGCTGAGGCATCCAGAAACTCAGATATCCTTGAATCTCGACCCCAGTCTTCTCTTCTCACTCTTTGAAAATAAAAATTCCCGTGGCTTCCTTAAGGTATAACGAATAGCCTCCATTTAGTGATTACAAGTGTCTAACCAAAACTGACTCCTTCCTCCAGGTGGGCTGATAGAAAGGGGAGTCTGTGACATAGAAGAGGGAGAGCAGCAGCTTCTGTGACGCACACCCTCACACACTCCCCCACCCCCCCAGACATGCACGTGCACAAGGCGCCCCTCCCCCCCAGACATGCACGCATGCGCACAAGCCGCCCCTCCCGTCGCCCAGACGTGCAGGGGCAGGTGCACAAGCCGCCACTTTTAGTGCCACCGTAACTGATGGAATTGAGGCGGGAGAGAAATGGGTGGTAGGAAAGTTCCTCTTTACCTGGTCCTCTTGTACATTGGCTTCACTCTCTCTACACCTGGAAGACCTTTAAAGCAGATGCTCTCTCTTGTGTGGGTGTTTGCATAACTTCTTCAGAGCTCTCTGACCCGTCAGCCTGCTGGTTGCACCGAATTGCAGTCTGGGTGATGTTTTCTCTGGTACTACTGCCCATCCTCTCTCAACCCCTAATTTTCAGAACCTTCAGATGACACACACTCTCTGTTGGAGTTCCGTCTTCTTCCCAGGTGGTTTACATGTTCAGGTGTCAAAACAGGTGCAGGCTGACTCTTAGTGTTTCGCAGATCACATCTGGTTCATGAAAAACATCACCTGCCCTACGTCCCTCCTCAGCAAAAGTCCAGGGCAATTCCTCTGTGGCCACCTTTGCGGTGGTTGTTTGGCTTTCTTTATAACTTTTTTTATTAAAAACAATGTTCGTTCTGTAGACCTTTAAGCTTCAATGGCAACAATCAGATTCCATTTTATGATTTTTAGCCCTTCCAGGAAGCGTGAAGCAAACTTTCCTTGAGGTTCCATTGGAACCTGGCCTTCTACCCTCAAGATAAAGGAGGTAGATGATGTTCCTCCCTCCCCACTACACACACACAAGCTTACACCAACTCACGTACCCTGTCGTCTTGTGTGTTGGGACGAATGGTACAGATTTCTCTGAAGAAATCATCTTCATAAAACTCCTCTCTATGTAACTGAAAATCCTGACCATTTTCTACCCTCCAGCTAAGCGAGTATCGGCTCCTAGCATTTCCTTTTGATATCTACGTCGTGAGCTGATTCCTAACACATTTTATTACACAATGTCTTTTTTATATCTGTGTATCTCAACCAAATCTTTCAGTATCACACCATTTGCTTTTTCAGGAGTTTGCAGTCAGAAAATCTACTGAATTATATTTATTTGGGTTGGAAGGGGGTTCCCCAAAATGTAGGCCCTCGCTGATCAAAACTGGTCTTGCATCCATCACTGAATTTGAAAATACAGTTATGAGTTGGGGGTCATTAAACCAATCTTTCCATTAATCAAAGACTATCTTCCTAGACTAGCTCCTTATAAACATAAGTAGAAAATTAAAAGTTGTTCTTTTCCTTATCTTTTTCACACTTTAGTCAGAATAATTTCAAGAGCGTGCTAGTTTTGGCAGCCCATATACTAAAATTGGAACGATACAGAGAAGATGAGCATGGTCCCTGCACGAGAATGATGCACACATTCGTGAAGAATAATTTCAGGAGCTAAATCAGGTATAAATTTTTATTTGCGTTCAAATAGGGAGACTGTCTTGTTGCCATCTTTCTCATTCCCATCTTGTTTTCCACAGATAACAGCAGAGACTCTCCTTTCTTCTGGTGCTCTGTTTCAGCTTGGAGACTGCTCATTACTGTGGGGAAGATTCAGAGCAAGACTGAAACTCAGTGATCTGCAGTCTCTGTTTACCTTTGACAATCCATTTTCTCCACAGAACCTTCATGCTTTGTAGAAAAGGCAGACTTAATTAGTGTAAGTCACAAAGAACACAACAAAATTGTCATTTCCAGACTTTTGTATTTAAAAGATTAAATTAAAGAGCCAATTTTGTCTGCAATAACTCAAGTCAGGAAAGACTTCATTATCTATTTAGTGTTTTCCCCTCAATCTCCACTAATTTATGTAAAGTATTGTCACCAACGGTCGTCACTTATAGGTAAGGTAAGCGCAGTAATTCAAATGTAAGCTGTGTTTGATACAATAAAATAACTTTGTAACCCAAAAAAGTCTAGACAAATAAAAAGATGTCTCCTGGATAAGACTTCCAGGAATTACATTGGCCCTTATCCCTTAATAAAAGAACCCAGTATTTAGCCGTGTCCCTTGCCACTGACGGTGTCCCCTGCCTTCTTGCCAGCCAGGTACAAGCTCCAATAATATGTTCTTTTCGAGATGTAGGGAGAAATTCTGTGTGGTAATTGCAAAAAGAACAAACCTCTTAAGTGGGAAAGTTTATATTCTAATTTGGAAAGAGTTAGCAAATACCTACATAGAAGATTCAAGATGATCCGGGATACCTTCGTGTTCCTTGTAGTGCTATTTATGATAGCAAACATTTGATAGCCTGAAAGTCTAGCAGAAAGAGAGATTAATGAAATTATTGTACAACCACGGTAGCGGAGGATTTTGCATGTCAGATTTTTCAAGGACACTCAATGCTATAGGAACGCATCTCGTTGTTTACATGCTGTGCAAGAATTAAGTATATTTTTCCATATGATGGAAAATTATGCAACCGTAAAATATCATTTCTGAAGATTACTTAATAACATGGGGGAAATGTTTATGGCAGTATGTTAAACAAAGCATAACGTACGCTTGTGCAGAATGTCGATACATGCATAAAACAAACCTTAAAAAGAAATAGAGTGTGAAACGCTGCTTTATCATGAGTGGTGAGGATATGGGCACGTTTCCTCCTCTTTTTATAGAGTTCAAAGATTCTACAGTGGAAAAGTATAATCCTTGTAGTAGAAATAGACTTATAACTTGTATTTCTAAAATAAATACAAGCACTGTGGAGACTTTAAATAACAGGAGGGTTGGGAGGTTTCCTTGGCTTTGGCATTTAGAAGGTAATTGAAGAACTTAGCCAGAACATTATCAGTGAAGTTGATGGGGGTAGAAGTCAGTTTACTGTCAATTAAAATTTTAAATGGGAAGCTAAATGTGTTCGTGAATTGAAGCCCTATTTCCAAAGCGCTTGGCTATGAAGGGATGGAGAAAGATAAAGGAGTAACTCAAGAGGGACATTCGATGAGGAAAGGACTGTATCTGTATGTTTAATAGGAGATACTAGAGGATATTTAGGGCCGTGTGGGAGTCAGTAGAAAAGCAGACGTTTTGAATATAGGTTAAAAGCCTCAGTTTTCTCTGTGAAGGAAGAGAAATTAGCAGCGGAGAAAAGTGGCTGGTGGCAGGTTTTGGGAGGAGGTTATAAAGAATTAAAATGGTTGCTGTGATGAACAGCACAGGTAGCTGACCAGTGGGCAGAACAATATTCCCGAGCAGTGTTGGAGTCCAGCTACCACTGTGTTCCCAGAAAGCGTGATGACACCAATCTGCCAAATGTGTGATTTAATCTAACAGCCCGCAGGAGGCTGGGGACGGAGCGGAAAAGGTGAATAACGGACCGATTCAGAATGGAGAGATTAGAAGTTTGAGTAGGAGAAAGGGGCCGAAATTAGAAGTCCTATGCCACTTCAGTGACGTGGGAGCCAGAGGAGTTGGGATAGGAATTATGACATGTAAAGCGGTCGAGGTGTAGCCCTCGATCCCATCAGGAAGCGGACAGTGTCCTCGGGAACCGTCTGATGAACTCAGGTCATTGTGCAATCCCGAGTCTCTTCATTGCTGATGGGTCTGGTCTGTCAGCCTTTCTTTGGCAGGTTTTACTGTAAACGTGACCTAACCAGGGAACATTTTCCAGGCTCACTTTCTTGTATTTATTTTTCTTTAATTTCGTAGAGTTTTTTGAAGAGTCAAAGAAGCAGCAGCGAATAGCAGGTCTCCTGGAGAAGTGAGCAGCACTCCTTGACTACTGAGAACAGAGCTGCTCACTGGAGCCGGTGAGCATGCCTTGTGGTCTGTGCCTTCTAGAAAGAGAGAACACCCCAAGGTTCTGCATACTGCTGATTCCTAGGCAGCTCCACTTTGCTTGCTTGAGCATCATCCCTGATAATCAGATTTTGTGCCAACCGTGAGCTAAGTTATGTGTAAAGGCTGGAAGTTGATATTTCTCTCTCTCATTGGAGGAAGTAAGTTAGAAGGACAGTGTCTTTGTTTTTAATTATAATTTAATTTATACATATATATTATAGTCTAATTATAAATATGTATTTTCTCATTAGTGTGATACAGAAATTCACAAATTGTCATCTCTTGCATTCCAATTACATTAGACATCAGACGTGATTTTTCTTCTATATCATCAAGAAAATGATTTTTAATCATTGCTGCCAGGGCATCTCTGAGGCTGTCTGGTTCTTTCTTATCACATGATCAAAGGGATGTAGGAGATTCATCGTAAGCTACTGTGTCTATAAAACAATGTCCAGATAGACTGTGGGATAGATGATGGCCTCAAAGTATGAGAGGGACTACTATAGTATATATAATGATTAATATCATTTCTTCCACATCTACTTATGGGGCTCCTTGGTTCCTATTCTGTGATATAACTAGTAATAGACCCTGTGGGCTTGAAAAACTAGCTGTGTTCTGTGAATAAATTTTTTTTTTAAATTTATTTGAGAGAGAGTGAGAGAGAGATCATGAGCAGGAGGAGGGGCAGAGGGAGAAGCAGACTCCCTCCTGAGCAGAGATTCCAACTCGGGACTCGATCCCGAGACTCTGGGATCATGACCTGAGTCAAAGGCAGACGCTTAACCAACTGAGTCACCCAGGTGCCCCTAAGACAGTTTAATAATGATGATAACATATAATCTGTGCCTGGCACTGTTAGAAGTGCTTTATATGTATTATCTCATTTGATCTTTTGCTTAATCCTATCAGATAAATAGTACTATAGTCGCCATTTTAAAGGAAAATTGAGGTAAACTACCATGCTAGAGATCATACACCCACCACCACTTACCCATCCCTACCCTGTGCAAAATGTCACATGCCATAATCTGTTTCACTTACAGTAGGGTAAAGTTAATAAATTTTATGGTTTCTAGGACTTATCAGGGCTTTTTTTCCATTTATCTAGTAGGATTCGGTATTTTTGCTCTCCAACGTGGTGTTATTACACTGAGCTTTTATATCTAGGGGTGTACTATTTCAAAAACTGAATTGGTAGAGAGTAAAATCTAATGACTGTGTGTCAGTGTCATTCATTGAATGGTCAAGTTAACCTGATGTATCTCTCAATACAGAACAAGAATCTGTACCAAAATTTGTTAATGCTAAATATTAAAAATCGAACCATTAATACATTCCAGCATTGACTGTTGAATATTACGGTGTTATGTTTGGTTCTCATTTTTCCTATTTAGATCCATCTTATCTCTAAAGGTTCATTGAATCTTAAGGTACATCAATATAATGAAATGCACACATCATTTTCCATGCACCATTGAACATAGCAGCTGAAATTTTTTTTTTTTTTTTAAGATTTTATTTATTTGACAGAGAGAGACACAGCGAGAGAGGGAACACAAGCAGGGGGAGTGGGAGAGGGAGAAGCAGGCTTCCCGCGGAGCTGGGAGCCCGATGCGGGGCTCGATCCCAGGACCCTGGGATCATGACCTGAGCCGAAGGCAGGCGCTTAACGACTGAGCCACCCAGGCGCCCCAGCAGTTGAAATTTTTAAAATGCATTTGTAAGGAGAAACTTAAAGAAGTATGTGTTCTTGTTTATTTTTATTAAAACTCTGCATGCACACCTAAATTACTCTCCTGAGCAGCACATGACAGCTATATAACAATTTAGGCTTTAAGGTAGTTTTGCAAGTACAAATTAAATACCATCTCACGTTATCAACATTCTCCAATGGTGGTGGGAGGGGCAATAAACTGTCTAAACTGGGGAAGAATAACTGATTGGAACTCGAAAGTCAGAATTGGCCCATTACTGGAAAACACTGAATGATTTTTGTCCAATTTTATGAATTCAACCTGCACCCTTTTCGGACCTCACCCAGCATGTCTTCCCTATAGCAGCTCCCCACTAAAGACTCTTAGTAGGATTCCCCAATACATCTAGTCTCTGCATTTATCCTAAGAGGGAAAAAGATGTCTAAAAAGGAAACTTTTTCCAGAGGTCATTTCAGTAGGGCCATGACTTTCTTATATGTTCTCATCTTCTCATCTCATCAGACATTATAGCCATCCCTTAACTCCTTGTGACCACTCATTCTCCAGTCCAAATAGTTACTCTTACAGTTGTGGTTCTCCTTGATACAATGGAGTTCAAGTGATCCTTCAGGAGACTGTAGGTTCAACATCTCCTGTGCCCCAACCCATGCTTACCGAGGTAGTGGTTCCTACACAGTCCTCTCAGTTGGGCTGCCTGACTACACCACCAGCTAGGTAGTCAACTGACCTAGGTTTAGATTCTAGATCTATCACTATCACTTGTATGATTTGGTGCAAATCACTTCATTTCTATGAACTTCAATACTCATATCAAAGTAGTGTTTAATTAAGAAGGATGATTGTGAGGATTAAAATGGATATTGCAAATGAAGTTTGTCAACA